ATCACAAAATCCTCTTTTTTCTTGTCTATAGTGATTTTGACTTAGTACAAAATAATCAGTAAAAGCGATTTAGAGGAAGACTCTGCACTGATAATTCATAATTCAGATCAAAATGCAAATGGTGCTTCTAGAGAATCTATCATCTGCTCGAACTTTGAATTACGTGCACCTTACATTCTTCTCTCAAACACATCTTTAACTCATTTCTTCAATGAAAATCTATTTAGCTGTCTTACACATATGTTATTATAAAACACTTGTACCTTTTGCAACAATTCTCTTTCACCAAATAAGTAAAGAGAATCACCCATCTTTCCTAACCGTACTCCATATCCATCCTACTGTTAATCTTCAGTTGGAAAACTCAGTGATTTCTCCCTCTCTACATCCCTGCAGATCTTCATAAAGGATGTTTGGCTATATAGTACTTTATGCTTCAAACTGACTATTTTAACAGAAGTTCTTGTCTTATACTCTCACAACTCCAAATACGCTACGTATAACTAAACTGATACCATATCTATACGGCGAAAATGACTCCAGTTTACAGCCCTTGTAATCATGGAGCTAAGTCACTAACTTAGATGAAAATCGCAAAAATCGGAGGTATTTTCTTTAAACGACATGCAAAAGCAGTTTTATCGATGTTAAAAAAACTAAATTTATGCCACAACTTCCTGTTATGATCAGTTGTGTTGATAAATTAATTGCAATTTGGAAACAATGATATGCAAATAAAGAGAATACAATTTGTATATGTTTAGTGACTGATAATCAACAATTAATGTTAGATATATTTACACTAATTGCATTTGATTATGATTTTGGTAGTTTAAATAATTTATTAAGCATAATTAGCAGAAAATCTGCTACATTAATCAATATTGAAGATAAACCTGAACTATCTGACTTGAGTAATGCACTCACTATTTGGTTAAATGCACTTAAACATATCACAATAAATAGAATGCCAGCCATTATCAATTATTATTTATTAAAATTTGATAAAATATATCAAAATGCTTTAAAACACTTGAAAATTATTCACATAAAATTATTTCGAAATGTCAACAAGAAACAAATTTAAATGATAAAGCAATTAATCTTGTTGCATCTTTAGTATCATCATTACATAAGGATGAAGTTGCCGAAATGTTAAAACGTGAAGAAGTTAAAATAGGATTCACTAAGCAAGAATTATTAGATGAAGTACTGTCCTTACTTTTAGCTGGTTATGAGACGACTTCAAGTACTATATCTTGGTTTATTTATTATGTACATAAAAATCCAGAAGCTGAACAAAAAATGAAAGAAGAATTGAAACGTCATGGTATTACAAAAGAAACATCTTTAGATTATGATAATCTATTGCAAAAGTGTGAATACATAGATTGTGTAATTAATGAAACATTAAAAATAGCACCACTTGCTGTTGGCTCATTTCAAACACTGATCAAAGGTGCTGTTGTTGATGGAGTAAAACTTCGTCGAGGAGAAACAGTTTTATCTGCATTTTCGCTTATGCAAAGTGATCCAAGAAACTGGAAATTAGATCCGACACAATTCATTCCTGAACGATTTTATGGTATTGATGCGCCCGATCGTAATCATCATTCATTTGCGTTTATGCCATTTGGTGGTGGAAATCGGACTTGTGCCGGACAAGATGCGGCTTGTTTAGAATTAAAAGTTATTGTTACTCGTTTAATGCAATTTGTAACATTTATTGATGCACCTGGTAAGGATGATGGTCATTGTCAACGAATGATAATTATGCCAAAAGAGTTGGCAGTTTCAATTAAATTCGATTAACTTGCATTTAATAGACCATACATTTTCTGTAAAAATTTTAGATTTAGAAGCTCTTTTCTTCTGTGTTTTCACTGGAACTCGCTATTATCAATATGTACATAAATGATTAATTTAAATGTTGTACAAGAGACATGATGTTTCTGTTTTACGAAGGATTTTATCACAACATATATATATATCCAAGGCTTGAAATATTGTCTTTTCAATTCTGACAAGGTGAAAATCGCTTTTCGCTTAAAAACCAGTGGACAATAGGTTATCGCCTGCTAATTCGGAATATGAACATGATTTTTGTCGCTACGCCTTCCAAGATCGGTTCCCCAGAAAACCGTCTTTTCAGAAGCTTTAAAAGCTATTTGAAACCTTTCTTAACCATGCACGATTGTAGCGCGCGAATTTCTGATTAAAATGAGACATCTCTCAGCTCTACACGACCTTTCTTTGCAAAGTTATACAAATTACAAGAAAAGTCCTAAACGAATTTCTTATTTCTGTAGCTGTGAGTTGACAATGAACATTTACGGCTTTTCTTGTAAATGTTATAACTTTGCAAAAAAAAGGTCGTGTAGAGCTCGAGGAGTCTTCTTTTAATCAGAAATTCGCGCGCTAGAAGCATACCTGATTAAGAAAGGTGTGGGATATCTTTTAGAGCTTCTGAAAAACTCTCTTATGATCGGCTTGTCCATAGAATATCTGTCAGCCATTTTTCCGTATCTTACGCTCAGAGAGACAGAAAGACAGACGGTCAAATATTTAGTAATACCCTAGACTAAAATCAAAGGAATAAAACATGTGCTTCTTGGTTATTAAATACACATCCATGTGTGTATGTACTGATCGTTAATTCTCCATCGTTATACCTAAAAACAAATAACTCTGCCTTTAATGTGAGGACCAGCCACTAGGCATTCAGTAGCTAGGACTACGCGAGGTGGAATGTCCGTATGTGTCATCATAAAGTGTCGCACTCTATTAAACTTTGTTTTTATTTATAAGTTATTACAAAAATTCCGATTGAGAGAATTACAAGGGGGAAACAGCGGACTCCAGACTTCAACACGCCAACTGACTCCACTTGACTCCAAATGACTTCAATTGATTTCAACTGACTCCAGACAAGTCATATCTGACCGAGTCTATTGGCCTTCTTTTAAAAACTTGTCATTGTTGTATTCCCATGCTAGAACAAATGTCGTGTTATGAAATTCGATTCCCAAAAACAGAACAAATGTACTGTTCCAAGGGCTTCAATTCCCACAACAGAACAGACATCTGCTGTTGTGGGCATGTTTTCCCGGAAAACGGAACACTTTTGTTCTGTTCTTGGAATTGGGTCCGTTGACAAAGCAAAATGTTCCGTTTTTGGGAATAAACTATTAAGGAGTTCATACTAGCTCACAGCTCAAGGTAGCTAGAGCTCGTTGAAAAGCTAATGTCCTTCACAGTTGAAATACGCCATCACATCCCCGGAGTCCATCACATCCCCGGAGTCCATCAGACTCCATCGAATCTCATAGGATCTTTTATTTTACCTTCTGAGTACACCACATCAGGCGACTCCACTTGACTCCAAGTGACTGCACAAGACCGGGATCCCATCTAGTCTGCTATTTCTCTCGTGAGCTCCACCCTATCACCTGATTCCACCTCATCAATTAACTCCAATGCATCAAGTGACTTCACTTGACTCCACTTGACTCCAAATGACTTCATGCGTCTGGAGTCCGCTGTTTCCCCCTTGGAGAATTATAACTCATATCCGACCTTTTCTTAAATAGGTTCTGCTATTCTATTTTGTATTAAAGAAAAATGCATTAACGCTTATGCTCTGTTCTTCTTGCGTTTCAGTGGTTCTCCACGGAATATGCCAGAATCACTCACACAAACTTTTCCTTATTCATTCAGCTTGTCATTTTTTTGTACAAAACACGTCCATTCTAGTTTTTTCTCTATAGTATGTGGACTGGTCCAAAAATTATTGCAGGAAAAGCAAGTCGTTTTCAGATGTGTGTTACTTTCCTTTTCCGTAACTTTTTTTATTACAGTTTGACAGAAGAAGAGCTATCGGGATACTAGTGGAGAAATGGACACTAATGAAAGTATGAATTTATTTAGTATATCGACGAGTTATGACCTCTCAAAATTAGAAAAGGCGTGGCACGTCAATGTTAAGGACATGGCAAAGCAACTGAGAGAGTAATGTAGGCGTAGCAGGTAGCTTACAAACTGTGGCTAGATAGTTGTATTGACGAAGAATTCAATAAAAAACAAACTTGTTTGCTTGAATTTAAGCTTTGCTGTTGAAAATGCGTGTGCTAAAGGTGCTTTTTTTAGCTGCATATATAGTTATGTTTCTAGTAAAAAAAATTGGTTTTGGTAAAATGTGACTGTTTGATAATAAAGCAGGATGGATGCTGATTTCTCCAGAACGTGAGATGAGATTCTTCTGCCAATGTCACACTGTTTCTCATGAAAAGCGCTTCGGTTTTTTTAGTTAACCAACAGCTTGTCCAAACGTGACGAAATTACGTTTTTGACGCACAAAACTCTAATTTTTTCGCGAACTACACGAGCTAGAAAGTTGATTCTAGCGTCATTCGATGCGGCTTTTGGACTTCCAGCTATGCAAAAAAAATAAAATTTCTCGGAATTAATGTCAAGGTTCCAGAGCAATTTTACGGAGTATGACGAAATTACAAAAAAAGGCCGCAAATTTTTGGTTTTACTGGTGAAACTGTAATTTCTTGTGGAGGTAAGGATCCAATCTGAATCATCCTAGAAAACATTTTGTAGAGCGCCTCTCGGGCTATCGATTCCTAAAAAAAAGTTTTGCAAAACGCTTTTCCAGACGAATAAAATTATTTTATTTCGTGACGAAATTACACACTTTTTCAGTTCTATGCATTTTTGCATTAGTACGCATAAAACTCAGCTAAATCCAACTACAATGAGTACGAAAAACCTTTTTTACTGCTTACAAAGCCGGCAAATATTTCTGTTTTGCTCATGCGCTTCCTCGGAGTCTAATTGGCTTTTATCTTTTAGGACTCTCTTTCCATTTATTTTGACATTTAATTCAACTTTTTTGGAGGTCCTTGGCCACGAGTATCAAGAACATGCAAACTCAGATACCGTGTTTCGCCAGCTCGGGACGAAGACTCGGCCTCCTTTGAGCTGGGTAATTTTTTTATAGTAACATTTAAGAAGGTTCAATGTAAGAATTATCATTTTTTGCGTTTTTTTTTCTTTTTTTCCTTTCTGCCTAATCAAAAATCCTGGCAAGGGAACATCTTTAGCTTTTTATTAACTGCTAACACACTCACATACCTAAAATAAAACAAAGGTAAGAAAACAAGTGAAATATATGTACAAACAAGTGTGATAAAAAAAATTATTCTAGTGCAATTACTACTGCTCCCAAATATCCTGTCAATATTTAATAGTTTTTTTTGCGGAACCTAAAGAGTAATAACGTGTTTCAATGTAGTTTCTGTCAATCACTTTTACTGAATGAGTTTGAGAGTTTCAAGAACTTGTTTCTTAGCTTTAAAGATATTTTCAAGTTTGAGTTTTGAGTTATCAATGTGATTTTTGTGATTTCCATGAGAATTATCGAATTACTTTTTTTCTTTGCAATGCGAACGAAATAGGCAGCAGAACGACAAGCTTCACCTCCATGCACAGCAGACCAAACTACTCGTTTCACAACTGCTCCAATCGCATCAACCGTGCCTTTCCCATGACTAAGTGCATGATGCGTCGTTCTTTTATGTTTAGCTTTCGGCAAAATATAAGGGGTGAGTGTGTAGATTACATTTTTCTCTCTCGCTAGTAAATTAGATTTTTCTTTTCTCTCCTGCTCTCTCAAAGCAACGATCACAATACACGCAGGCGACAGACGGACATAGAGCTGTATCCAAGGGGGAAAGCACGGAATCCTGAAATTCTATGGAATCCAGTAGAATCTCCCGAAACAGAACAAAAGTGTTCTATATTTTGGGAAACTTTCCTCAAAAATAGAACAACAGGTTCTGTTTTGGGGGAACGTTCCAGGAAATTCAAGAGAATCTTATAGATTCCAAGAGAACCCTATGAAATCCTAGGGAATCCTACAGAATCATAAAGAATCCCTGAAATCCAGGAGAATTTAGGATTCTAGGATTCCGTGCTTTCCCCCTTAGCTGTATCGGAAGCGTTAAGTACACTCTGTATATAGAAGGTCAACGAGTTCTATTCAAACATGATGCTCTACGTGCTCAGTAAATTTAGTGGCAGATCTGAGTAGCACACGTTTAGTTCACCAGTACTCTTTTATTATTTCCCTTATTCCAGTAAAAATAGCACTCTGTAATTCAGCTAAAAAGCGCTACCACTGATTAAGTTTTCGTAATTGCGTCACGCTTTTCTACGATTAAATGCACTTGTATAATGAAAAAAAGTAGTTCGTTCGATTCGCCGTTAAAAACTAATTATAGTGAACTACTTTTTTGGTGGAAAGTCAATGGTTCATATAACAAGATTTTTAAAATTAGGCGTTTTCGTGACGCAATTACATTGAGTTTTATTAAGTATTTCTTCAGCCACTGTGAGATAACAAAGCAACGGATTCAATTCGTTCTTGCGCCAAAAGAAAGAACGTGGTCGATTATCTATGGACCATGTCTGAATCAATTCCTATCTCGATTTTTTAATGTTAAAAAAGTCTAAAATTCAATGTCATTTCAATGACATATAAATGCGTCATTTATATCCCATTATGATATAGATATGACATAAAAATGATCAATCGCCGAATCGGTTTTTTTAACTGATATTAGTTTTGATTTGGCTTATTACGTTCACAGTCCCGTTTTTGCTATAATTATTAATGTATGAACAAACTTTTCAGATGATTAGCCACTTAAAAAGGGACCGTTTCTCCTTGAACTGAATTTTTATTTTTGCAAGCATGGTTGTTGCAAAGAAAGGCTAGCTTATGCTAATGCAACACCAAAAAAAGTGAAGAAATAAAGAAATACTAAAAGAACAAGTTGGAACTCTTCTTGACGTAACTCGGTGTGCAAATGAACACCAGATTTTGAATTAATTATCGGCGTAACGAACAAATAAGATTTCTCTTTCGCTAATGAAATTCGAAAAAGGGAATAAAAGAAAAGTACTGTACTAGAAACTGTAAACTGAGATATCGAGAAATCGCTGATAGATCATTCTTCTAACTTTCTATACCTCTAGTATTAGATAAAGTCGAGTTTGTTGGGCGAGTAAATACAAACAAGACAGATATTACAGGTGATGATTTTTTTTCAACCAATATGAGATAGATGATGAGTACATAATACAAAAAATATGCTTGATCAGTAAAAAGAGAAGTACATTTCAGTAGAAATAAAAATTTATAAAAGAAAGTCATTGTAATAAGTATCATTATTCTATTTCATTATTTGTACGATTATCTGCACCAGTATCACTTCCATCATCATCTGCTCTTGTTTAAAGAGCTGCAACTTTTTCAGCCTGTCGTTTTTTGATTTTCGCATTCGAACATTTTGTTCGCAACGTTTGAACAATATATAATTCATAATAAGTTGCAAAAAACTGTTCAGTCATACAAAATTTATTTCGAATTGTACCTAAATGATAGAAGCTAGTTATACAATTGTATAATAACAAAGTTTCCTCCGCCAAAAGCTTTCTTTCCAAAGCTCCTTTGTCACTTTGCATCCTCCACAAAACTCAAACTCAAACTGTTTTTGAGTTTTTATGCCATGAACAGGAAATGACTGTGGCGGTGAAAAAACTCAAGCTTATCGTACTTCTGCTTATAAATTCGTTCTGGTTTTCGGTCGAATATTAGAAAAAAAGCAAGAATAATTTTGCTCTATTTTTTATATCAACTGCTCTTCGCTTTTTCGAAGGAAGTACAGAACAGATCAGTGAAAACTGTTAGCTCACTTTTTAAAATATCAATTTTGTCGGCATCCAACGTTGGTGGATCGGTCGGATGACGTTTATGACGATGTAACGACGGCATTGTTGCGTTGTTAATTCATTATCAGCAAATAAGACAGACAGAACGTTACGACCAAATTCAGCAGGACCGAGTCCTGGTATTAATAACAGATTTTGTCCATCGTATATCTAAACATATTACTCAAAGTATCTATAGATTTCAGGTATCCTTTCTAAGGATACCACCTCCCTTTTTTTTATATATTTCAATGTATGAGGAAAGGTGTGGAGATCCGTAATTTTTCTCAAATGATAGTCTCCCACAAACCTCTAGACCTTTTTGAGATCTTTTTATTTGGATCGGTTTTATAGAAGTTTTCTAGAAAAACTCCGATTTTCATTGTCGTCCATTACGTATAGCAAAAACAAAAATCGCGTTGTTCAAAACTGGATTTCGAAACTAAAAACGCTATAACTTTTGAACAGAACAGGGTCCTGGCAAATTTTATGCGGAAAAAATACTAACCCGATCGAACGAAATTTTTGGTAGCTGTAAAGTATGCCATGCTTGACTGGTGTAATTTTGAGTTATACGCAGATATGGAAAACACACTAAAAAAATGATGCTTTTCGTAGAATGCGTATAAGTCAACCAAAAACTGTTCATGCGCGGCGGGAAAGGTCTTTTATTAAACAAGCCACCTTGAACCACATGATTATTGTGTCCAGAAATTTTTCCTTTTGTCCGAACCAGAAAAAATTTCACAAATTAAATTTTAAATTTTTTTTTAAAAAGTTCATAACTTTTTAAGGAAAGATCGCACAGAGCTGGAACTGGTCTCATTTTGTACGTAATTCGTTCTCTACAAGCTGATGATCTTAACTCAAACGCAGTTTTGAAGAAAAAAAGAGAGGGCTACTGTTAATACTTCATGGCTGAGTAGAAACTACGACTGCCGAGTTTTGAAAGGCGAAGAGACAGTTTATCTAGGGATGCATCAAACCCAAAGCCATATTTGAGTTTTGTACCCAAATAGTTTAACGAAAGTATGATTATCGTTAGTAAACTGTTAGACATATGCCCATAATAAATTTCGAACTGTTCGATCGAGAATTTTGCGGAAAATGAAAGTTGTCCAAAAATCCTGAAACACATATCAATCAATTCAGCTTTGTATGCTGATTCCAAATATGACGAATGGTTATGCAGAAAAATAGGAGTTTAGCAATGAAAACTCCAAATACAAGCGAAATTCCTTGTTTTTTGCTACCTGTTCCAAGAAAATTACTTTTCTCAACAACGAACGATATTTTCCAAAACCGATACTTAATTTATTATGGCGAGTAGAATGATATAAAAATATTGGCTTCATCTACTATCTAGAGAGACTTGAAGCTTTTAAAATTTTAAAAGACGGCTTATTTTTTCAAAACTAATGTAAAACTCAAACACAGTGTGTTTGGGAACCTTGAAAGTATTCCATTCTTGTTCTCTGTGAAAAACTGAATCTGAAAAATAGTGTTTCGATACTATTTAAGTATGATATGACCTAAAAACTTTTTAGTTTTTCACTAATAGCCAAAATCCCGTTCATGTTAGCGCAAAAAGTCAAGTATCGGTTTTGGAAAATATCGTTCCGTTGTTGAGAAAAGTAATTTTCTTGGAACAGGTAGCAAAAAACAAGGAATTTCGCTTGTATTTGGAGTTTTCATTGCTAAACTCCTATTTTTCTGCATAACCAATGTCATATTTGAAATCAGCATAAAAAGCTGAATTGATTGATATGTGTTTCAGGATTTTTGGATAACTTTCATTTTTCCGCAAAATTCTCGGTCGAACAGTTCGAAATTTATTATGGGCATATGTCTAACAGTTTACTAACGATAATCATACTTTCGTTGGGTTTGGTGATCAAACCAAACCCAAAGTGTTTGGGACTACAAATCCCAAATCTTCACCAAACCCAAACCCACCAAACACAAATATCGGGGTTTGGTGCATCCCTAAGTTATCTAATAAATAGAAAATGAAATTCTCTAAAGAGACGTTCACACTCTGAACTTACAATTTCTTTCAAACATGTCCCCGATGTGGCAGTTTCCCAATCACTTTGCTTTTGTTTAATGTGAAAATAGAGTAAAATATCACAAGTAAAAAATCAAGTGTCCAGTGTTAGAACAGAACACTTACTAAATTTCTTGTTTGTTTTGCAGCCGATACTACTTTATCAGTGAGATCTGATATTTGTCCTTTTATAGATTCTGTTAAATCGTTTAATACATTATTAGGGACAGATGTTGTATAAACTGAGTTATTACCGACGGTCGAAGTTGCACTATTTTTAGATGACCGACTCTCGTCCAGATCTTGAGTTGGTGATAGACTGCATTGTCGTACGGTCTTTCGCTGAGTACCCGTACAAGCGAAATGAACATTTCCCTTTTTATCTTCTTCCTTTTCTCCGCTTAAATCAAAAACACTCGATCTCTTGCCTGTAGGTTGTGTTACAAAATTATTGGTTGTAGCTAGCTGCAAAGGAAAATAAGACAAATAGAACGACTGTTCTGAGGTTTTGCAGGACAGATTCCAAAACTCCGTCAATATGACCAAATACAAATGTTTATTACACGAAAATCTTACTTATTCGGGATGCTGTAGCAACCTGACTTTCACGACAAGTACCACCACTATATCCGTCATCATTCTCCGGTTCTTCGTTTTCTTCTTCCGATTGCGATGACACGCGTGTTAAATCTGCTGCTTTTTTCGTCATATTTTGTAAATATA